GAGACCCTTACAATATTTCAGATTAAATATAGTTCTATTTTTATTGTTTAACAAATTTCAATTCTTTCAGAAAAACAAAATTAAAGCAAGGTATCTCTCTATATGGAGCTGTTAGAAAATTTTATCCACAAAAGCTAGCTGAAAATGAGAGCCGGAAACTGTCCCCTGGTCACTGAAGTATTATTGAAGTCACAATTTGATTCACTAAACGTGAATTGCACTCCTCCGGATTCAACTGTTGTTTGTCCCTCAAGTCCGTACCATGAAATGAGACCTTTGAAAACTGACACTAACGTGTATTGTTTATTTGCTTCCAAACACAGTGCAGACTCAAATAATACATCGAAGCCATGATAGTTGTTCCAAGCGTCCTTTTTTGAGTGATAAGTTCCTGATTCTTTTCCAAGACAAGAGTTTTGGACGGTATCTTTAACTTCTGTAAAAACAGTGTGCTTGCCATGTTTTGAGCCAAAATATTGAACTCCACGTAACATGATTGGTTTGCTGACAGTGAACTTGATACTATCGGCTTTACTATAGTAACAGCCACTACTAAACTTCTGAAATCGGTTACTTCGCAGATGAAAGAGTTTACCCCTTCTGGTTTTCTTAAATGGCAAAGGCGACTTTAGGACGCCACAGTAGTGTTTCATCATGGTTCCAACCTCATCAAGAGTAAGAATTTGAGAATCAATCACAGCTGACACGAACTCCTTCTGTGAAATCAGTGGAAACCTTATTGCCTTTACAATATCTTCTCCAAGAATTTGTCGCTTCATTTCTCCAACAGGAATTACTCCTTGCCTTTCACATTCTTTTGTAGCCCAAAGATCAGCAGCTTTGAACAGTTCCACTTCCTTTACCTTTAACGTTCTCCTCTTCACAACAGATTTAAGCACAGATCGCTCAACTGTAACAAATTCGTCTGACGTCACAGCCTCTTCTGTATGCATCTCGATCACGTTCCAGCATCGATCTGCTAAATGTTTATCTTTCAATTTCCGAGCGTATGGAAGGATGCAAAAGACGTTGGATGCTTTCAGGTTTTCTCGCAGATATTCTGCACATTTCTGTGCGAGCGAGGACACCATATATTTGTTCGCTAAGCAAAACACCTGCATCACATTACTTCCGGTTAAATTCACTCTGTCGGTGTACAAGAAACGAAACAACTCCAACAGACTCTCGTAATTACAGTCAGGCAGTTCAACAGAGTCTTTAGTCTCTGCCATTTGACCATAGAACATAGTAAAGAACAAAGGGCTACTGATTGCAAGCACAAACTTGTGAGCTGGAATCACCATCTTTCTTTCACCTTCGCCATTCGATAGTGGAACAACAAATTTTACATCGCTCAACAATTCATTATTGAACATAAGCGTTGTTCTCTCGACAATAGTTAGGAGTTTCGTCTGCCAATTATCTTCACCAGTCATTGCTATGTTCTGCCTTCAGTTCTCTTCACAAATCTTATTCGATACAATGCACTTTTCTTTGACAGGGAATCAATTTTAAGACAGGTAAGTTGTCGTGACACTTTTTCACCTCCAATCACGCAGAAAAGATTCTTTGTTTCCAGGCTCTTCAGGTCTTTGCTCGTGCTGTTATGTATGTTTGCATGCATCTAATCGATCGAGATGCTTCCATTTAATGTGATGAATTCGAAAGAAACTGTGGTGCTTCGTCGGTGCAGTGGGCGGCATAACAAGGTAATTTGCTTTTATCGACTCAGTTGAAAATGTAAATTGGCCACCGTAGAGAGTTTCTAAAGCTGACGGCAAGGTAGGTACGTCATGTATGGGCACATATTATGTCCTCAATACATATTACCACAACCGCTGACCGACAAATCCAGACGTGTGACTTCCGCTCAGATTGTCGAAACGTCTGTCACCACTACAGGCAGCAGTCCTTTTTAGGACTACACTCAACCGGATGATCATCCCTCTTGATCCGTTATTAATCAACCCCTTCACTCCCACGATCTCGATATCATTTTTTTCTTCCCTGTTTGCGATACCTTTCTGAACATTTCAGCTCGAAGAGTTATGTGTCAAATCAATAGTTTTCATTGGTAGATGTTTAATTTCTAATCACTTTTCTATCAGGAAATTTGTTGGTATTATTGAGAGAAATTACTTGTTGGTCATTGTTGAGAGTTAAAGGGTTTAACGATCATTCTGTTTTTTCTTTTTTTCTGTTTTTCAAAAATTGTCTCACGAAGCACATGCAGGTTCTCTTCAGTTCATCATTAACACCGGTGGATATCTTATTGTCAAAATTTTAAGAGTTTTGGGCCAACACCTGACTTATTTGGGATCGACCTATGTGAGAAAGGAGTCCGCAAAAGAGAAACAAAAACAATTAATGACCTCCTCCTTCCATATTCCCCCCTCCCCCCCTCCCCCCCTCTGCCTCTTTCCCTAGACTGGAATATTCGCCCCTTGAATCATCGATGGCAATCACGTACCCGTCAGGCTTATCTATAACAGATAAACTGATATTTGATATAATGTTATCATATACAAGTGTTGACGGATAACGCTGATCAGCGATCAGGCCAAGTCAACAGCCACATTATTATTAATCAACGTACAAGAATATGTTTATGAACGCTTTTTACCAGCTGATCATCTTAAGCGTGCTTCTATCGTCATCTTCTATAACAGGTAATACGCTGATGTTTTATTTCCATTTACTTTTCGATTGGAGGATTTCAACAAATATTTATGCTCTAGAAATGATTTATCAAAGATTTGTCGATTTATGTACGTTGCGCCATTCGCTTTTGATGAATGAAACAAAGCTCAAAGTTTGCGTTAAATAGTTGAGGTCAGTCAGGTGTAGCTACATGTAACTAAGTATTTGATTTTCTGTACGCAGTATCGTCAGGTAAACAATGAGCCTATAATAAAGATGTCATTTTTACTGTTGCCCAATGGCATTGACATTGTGCGGTATTATGGGCTGTTATAAACTGCAACAAAACGATACTCGCTTAAGATACACGTGATAATTACGTCCGTGTTTTTTGGGGTTCGTTGTCTACTCTCTTTTAATACTCTCTGAACTTTGTACTTCAGTTTACTTATTGTGAACAATAAAGGATAAACCGCCCGTGGTGTTACACGTCACGCAACGCTCTCTTTCCAGCCGACCGTTACGTGTCATTTCGGCCCTCCTATAAACTGCGGACTAAATTTGTATTGGGATGTTTTGTGATACAACTTTATTACAATATAATCAATAATTGCATCTATGTAACTTGAATCAATTGCGCCAAGGAAGCAAGAAGCGGGATGAGGTAGACGTTTCTCATCTTCACTCTGCCACAAAACGATAGACACATTTTCCATAACATTCCTGTATTGAAATTAACGGATTGAAGGAAAACAACTCTGCTAAACCATGAAGAAGGAGGGTCGAGTTATATTTCATGGTGTCACCGAGCGACTTGTGTCTAGACGAGAAAAACATCATGAGGGCAATTTAACACCCTTCCCTCCCCTAGAGCAGTCATTTACGCGAGCGTTGACTCTGCGTTATTAGGACAAGAGCCCAAGTAGTTTTAACTGTGAGTGAAACTTTTGATTGCGTTCCTTAGTCTCTTTCCCCCTCTTTACATAGGGATGATCAGTTGGCCTGAAGGACTGTATGGATTACCAATGGCCATCAATGGCTGTCCCGTCGACCCATCTATCAACTGGAAAACTGGGACGCTGTACCAAGACTGCGAGGACACGGACCCACGAACGCAACATTCGCCCGACCTCCATTTAAACGCTTTCGTCAAATATGGAGACGTACAGCGGTCATTTTGTATGAAAACATCTTCTGTGAATGATTCCAACCGGGACCAGTGGCCCTCAGGGAAGTACTGTATTTATCTGTGGGGGAAAACCTGCCCCTCGGGTATGCTTGAAGGTTGGGTCCAGTGGGACGACGAGAATACCATCATAATTTACAATAAAAACACGAGAAGGGGAACGTTACCAACAGGAGTTTACGGCCAGGATACGTAAGTACTCACTGAGTGGTTAAGTCACCACATTGTACATAATTATGTTCAAGTGCATTTGTACTTTAAAAGTTTTAAGTTCACCGATGATCTTTTATCAGCTAAATCGGCCATAAACCAAAAATTGTTTAAAGTAATTTCTCGAGAACCATAAAGGATATTTTTTAAATTCGCCAAACTTCAAATCGCCTGAGAAAGGCAAGCAGTTAAGCGATCAAAATTTTGTGCTCATTGATCATATAATTCCAGGTCTCGATTTAGAAACGTAAAATCTTTTAAAATCTACTCTCGTCAATTTTTTTATTTATTTATTTATTTCATGTTATCTTTGCAGCAGCCTTTTTTAGATTTTCATTTGTTTTGGCTATTGACTTGCTTTACAGCTATGATTTTGTAATTATTAGGGACCACTCATTATTAATCGCCGGGGAGGGTTGGGAGACCACATGGTTTTTTAGGAAGAATGGAGGGGGGATCAGTTGTCGCCTACAGAGTATAGAGAGGGGACTATAGAAAATTGACTGCCAATGTGGGGAGGGTCATAAGAATATTACAGAGCCTAATCGCCTCTCGGCGGGAGAGGGGTAAGGTAAATTTTGTCGTGACACCGTCAAAATCCTTCAATTCCCCTCCCCTTCCCCCCCTTCCCGACCAGATGACAAATAATGACTAGCCCCTTCTCTTATTTCAACATCATGTGCTGTGCTGTGCATGCGCAGACCCTATATGTAATGTACTGTCTTCGTTCCAATAGACGTATCTCTTACTGCTGCAGTGTTCTTGGCTCGACCCAGACTCCCATCGATCTTCCGTTGACTTCGCCATTCTATCTGATAGCCTATGGTAGCAAAGTCTGCCAGTTGGTTAGGGGGGCGCAGTCTAGTCTAGAATACATATTTTACGAAACAGAATACTCGACTTTCATGACGAAAAACGATTATGGTGGTGCTCATCCCTATGGTGTGACGAGAGACCCGCAAGGCCAAATGATCTTCTACTGCTATTATAGACGTGAGTTACAATTTATATTCTGAATTAAAACAGCGATCATCATCAGCTTTCTACATGAGAGCACGTCAAAGAAAATCGATATTTTTTCAACAAACCGTAAACTCCAAAATGATTACAATTTTTGTATTATTTCGTACAATCTCTTATTCATAATTATGATTAGCCCACTTTGCCTCGATCGCATCCTCTAAATTCAAAATAATATTGTAAGCTTTAGACAAGGCAAAGAAGGTAAATTATCATGAAGAAAAAATAATGACGTACTTCCTCCATTTCGAAATAAGGTGTATTCCATCCAAATCCCCTCCTGTGATGTACCACGTGAACAAAAAAACGCTGAACCTGGGAACAAGAACTTGCTCAAGTACGAGGCTTTAACTCGAACGATTTTGGACCTGAATTTTTAGATAGAGCTCTTTATAATGTTTTCTTTCTTTTTCGTTTTTTTCTTTTTTTTTGGTCTTAAATGCAGCTATCCATTGTCCAGCATTAAGAAAACCTGACAACGGAATGTTAAAACCAGCTCACTGTGGCGAAAATAATGAAACTACGTTTAATGGCACATGTACGGTAACGTGCAATAGCGGGTACATACCTAAGAATCCCGCGGGACAAATCACGTCATGTTTGGAGAACGGAACCTGGAGCATACCCATCGTCACTGGCTGTATACGTAAGTATTGCATTATGGGATAAACTGCTCGCTCATTAATTCTTAACCTACAGTAACAGTAAAAATGTATCTAAGTTTGTATACTTTTACAGAAACTTGGATCCAATGTGATCCTCAAACTTTACCCATGGGGAAATTTGTGGTGCAAGTTATTAGGCAAAAAAAAAACTAGAAAGGAAAAACTCTATTCACAGTACAAGCCGGATGAAGACCCCTCATTTTGATCCGTACATCTGCTAAACACGGGCAGCTAACTGTCTTAAGGGTATTTGTTCGTAAGAGACTCGTTTGTGTACGATGATCTACGCCTGGCGCCGCTAAATCTAGTTGAAACCAACAGTTTTACATTTTGCTCCATTCTCAGCCGCTTCTATGATAGCAGCTTCATCTAGTATGATGACCCGAACCAGTACAATTCAACCAACAACAGTCTCGAAAACTTATCCAAGTACTCTATGCTTCACGACTTATTCTACTACAAAGTCTTC